TTGAATGTGACTTCTAAAACTATATGACTAAAATGTTACAAATATTTGAACACATTTTTATTGCATAAAATGATCTATCAAGAATAACATATAATTTACACCGACTTTTACCTTTTAAATAAATGGTTTAAAATTGTTGCATCTTGCATCTTACTTTATATAAGAATCGGAAACTATTTACATTTATTATACAATATTTTGTCAATAATTTTAACACCAAAAACATAATTATTTATATACAGTATTTATCTATATTATATTATAAAGCAGTTTATATAATTCTTAAAAATCATTTTTAATGTATCAAATACTAATATATAAAACTTAAAATTTAATATTACAATTAATGGTGCATGATAACTACTTCTTAAAACTATATATTTTAATTCATATAACTAACTGAGAAACATAATCAAATATAAAATACACATCTCATTTTAAATACAAATAATCTAAAATATAATAGGATAATCATTAAGTTATAACAAAATACTTAATTATTATTTTTATAAAAAATTGTATTATTAAACCTAAAATAAATTAATTCGTTATTAAATCTAAACTAAATTATAATAAGAAGATTGAACTAAAAATTATCTTTAATATATATATATATATATATATATATATATTATAAAACATTTGATACAAACTCTTAAAAACCATTTTTAATGCATCAACTGTTGTTTAATGACGCATGTTACTTAAAATTCAAGATTACAAGTAATGGTGCATGAGTATTACCTTTTAAAGCTATATGTTTGAATTTATATAACTAACCGATAAACATAATCAAATATAGGATAAACATCGCATTTTAAATATAAAAAATCTAAAATATGATCAAAATAATCATTAAATTCTAACAAAATATTTAATTATTATATTTATAAAAAATTATATTATTAAACCCAAAATAAATTAATACATTATTAACTCTAAATTAATTATGATAAAAAGATCAAACTAAAATTAATTGTTATAAAAAATATTATATTATTAGACTTAAAATAAATTATTTCCTTATTAAATCTAAATTAAATTATATTAAAATTTTGAACTAAAAAATTTATTAAAAAACAAGACCCTTCAAATTATTACTTTTATTGGCCTTCAAATGTATATTTTATTCAGATAAAAAAAACATTATCATTTTCTCAAAACCATACTATAAAACGAAACATTAAAAACAAAACATATATTCGTTGTATCATGCGAGTATGCTTCTAGTTATTTTTAAAATCAAACCTAGTAAACATATTTAATGTGCATCTTTTTTTTATTATTGATCTACTTTATTTGGATATGTTTATTTCTTTTATTTCGAAACTTTAAGATACTTTTGTTCTAAAAACTTTTAAGCATTTAATATTTTTTAGAAAGATAACAATATTTATATCTTGAAATTGTTGGATTGTTTTTTCGTATCAGATTTTTGGATATAAACTAAAATCAGAATATAATATCAACGAACTTATTTCTACTGTAAATATAAAAAATAAAATTTTACACTGAGAAAAAAAAATCCTAGAATTTGTATTTCAATATAAAAATAACTCCAATTATAATATTGATTTATCTATACTATCTTATTAAGCAAATTTAACAAAAGTTTTAAAGTCTTAAAATACTAAACGACCAATATACTCTTTTCACTTTTTCACCCCTTCCTCTCCTCACATACACTCACCCCCTCTCATTCAACCGATTTTTTTTAAATTATAATTTTAAATTTACATCTTATATCCCTATAATTAGTTAATTAATTATTTACGTTCTTTACTTTTTAAATGTTTCATTTTAAATATTTATTAAATTAACATACATAATCGTATCAATTAAAACATGTTTAAAAAATACATTTTTATTTTAACAAGTTACACMATTATAATCGTCTCGTTAATACCTTCGAAATGAGTCCAATATTAAATAGTTTTTGACTTAATTATATTATTATATATTATATATATTGTGAAAAAATATTTTTAATGTTTACGATTTATACTTTTATAGTTATTTATTTATATATATGCTATACATTTTGGGGTTAGACTGTCCAAATTGCACTGTATGATATGTTCTTGAGTTTTTTTGAAATATATATATACATGTATTAATTCAACCTTAATCTGAGTTTCTGGACAAGAAAGATGGTAAGCAGTTGAAATTTTATTTTAAAGCCCATCTTTTTTGATCTTTTCATGACTTATGATTTGTCCAATTTGTAGTTTTCTTTATTGGTTTTGAGTGTTTATCTTAAAACTCAAGTTTCTTGGTTCTTTGCTCTTGGTGTAAATCGAACACATTTGTGGAGTCGTTTAAATATGTTGGATTTTAAACTGTCATACAATTTTTTTCATCGATAGTCTGTAATTGGAACCATAACTCTTATTTATTCAAATTATATTAATATATAAAGACCAAGTGTAACTTATATCATCGTTAAATCTTATTTTTATAAAACCAGTGGAACTTCAAAATCGTTAAAATTCATGACTCACGACGCATTGTACGGATACACAACTAGTATATTTTTAAAAATCACCATGGCATCTTTTAACTTGATTTATTTAAATTAAATAAACTAAAAAACTTGATTTTAAATGTGAAAAAGAAAAGAGAATATGCTGCGGATCTGGTTGTGTCACCATTGGTGGTTGCTATGTCACTTGAAAGCGAAAAATTTGCAATTTGGTTCCCACTACTTGCACGGAAGTTTCCACCTCTTTCTGTTCTGCACTTAATATTATATATATATTCCCAATAAAGTAAAACCCTATAGATCTAAATCACATTAATACTATTTTAACCCCTCAATTGTTGTAAAATTCTCAGTTTCAACACAATACTCTTCACGTTCACACTTTAGCCATGATTTTAACTCTTTGCATTACATTTTCATCCTAACAAGGGGTGAATGATGAGTTAACTACTTCTTCACTAGATGTATTAAAATGTGAAGTTAAACCGGTAGGGTAACGGGCTTGAATATTTGAGAGCATAAAAATTTATGAAATATGTTAGAATTTTTATTTTAAGGTTTTTTTATATTATTTTTTATTTGAGAATAGTATTTGATGTATTAATTAGCATATATTTGTTTCACAATGTGTTTGTCTTTCATATGGATAAAGTTCACAATGTGAAGTTTTTTAAGTGTGTTATTCTTTTCATAAATACGCCAAAAAGGTCATATTGTGAACCGCATACATATGAAACAAATATATGTTAATCACTACATCAAAATTCTAACCATAGATGAAAAACAATCATTATTAAATATCACATAATGCACCGGTTCTTAAAGATCTCATAATTTAAATAGTTTTCAAAAGAAGACTCCATATATACATAGATCTATATTGGGTTAACCCACAAGCTTTATCTGAATTTCACATATAAATAAGATTATTATAAAAATAATTTACCATTTAGACCATAATTCAATTTTGGGAGTGAAATGATTTTTGATATTTGTAAACATTTGTATTTAATTATGTCATGGGTGACCTTTAACTTGTTTAGTATGCTTCTAATAACAAATTTTTATATAAATGATTTAATTTATTTCCATTAATTTATTTTATTAGGTTCACGTCTTATTTTTAACGAAGAATGTATTACAAAATAATAATAATCTATGTCATATTACAAGCATTTGAAAATTTTTAAATATAAAAATTAAGACATCAAGTATAAATCAATAATGTATATAAAATATCTCATATCTTATAATACTAGTATTTTACTTTTTTATCTATACTATATTATAAAGCATTTGACAAAAACTTTTAAAAACTATTTTTTATGCATGAAGTACTGTTCATTGATGCATATTACTTAAAATTCAAGATTACAAGTGATTTTGCGTAAATACAACTTATTAAAGTTTAATTTTTAAATTTGTGTAACTAACTGCAGATAAACATAATCAAATATAGGATAAACATCTATTTTAAATATAAAAAATTTAAAATATAATCAGGATAATTATTGAGTTTCTAACTTAATGTTTAATTATTATCTTTATAAAAAATTATATTATTAAATCAAAAATACATTATAATTTTTTTTTCAAATTTTCATGATATGTTCAAATTTATATTTCATCAAAGATAAAACATTATTACTTTCTCAAAACCCATAAAACCGTATTATATCGATAAAGACAAAAATTAAAAACTAAACATTTAAAATCGAGATATATCTCGATGCATTATACGAGTACCCTTCTAGTAAACAATAAATACGAAACCATCTTCTAAACCATCATACATTTTACAAATAAATGGAATACTCCATATATTCACCTATTTTATTTTATTCATCATATATGGTGGGAGAGAGAAATCATTTTATTCAATTCCATCAATGAGATTGAGTTATGTTTTTTATAAAATGTATATTGAGATGATAAATTAGAGAATATTATAATAATATAATTTATATTAAAATCTTTAAAATAATTTTTTTTTCCAAAGATAAATATAATTCTTTTTAGAAAATTTATGTTTTAATTATTTATTTTAGAAAAATTACAAGTTTTCAACTTCAGAGTTAGATGATATGTCGCACTATGGAAACACTTTTTATAATGAGAAAGGTCGGAACATACAATTGAGAACTTTCGTGGTCCAAATGAAATTATCAAAACTCTCTAACGGTCAAGATTAGGTTTTTGAGAGGATGTAGCGTCAATGATTTTTAACCACGCCCCCACCATCCAAATACATCCAACCAATCAAAACTCGCCACATGAGCAGCAGACTACAAATTCGTGAGCCGGCTCCGAAGTGGCGCAATGCTATTGGTGGGGCTCGATGTGTGCCGCTACAAAAATAAGAGTCAAAGGGGGATCGCTTTCTTTTTCAAAACATGTTAATTAATTTAATTATTTATTTATTTTATCAAATTAAATTAAATTATACGAAGGTTCAGGGAAGGCAGGACTCCTTACTTACCTTATAATCCAACTCTAATAAGTTCTTAACGAAAAAAGGGGTTTCTTCATAGATCTCTTTCTCCATTCTCACTCAAAATCTTCAACTCTTTTCTCTCTGGAGAGAAATTGAACTCGAAGATTTAGAAAAGGGCATCAATTGCTTTATATATGTTCATTGCTTCCTAATTTCTGTTCATCTGCTATAATATTTATCAACTTCAGGTAAATTTAACTTGTTTTAGTCGGTTATTGCTTTTGATTGTGTTTTTCTTCATAATATCTTGTGATTGTTGTGTTTAATTCGTTTTCTGTATGTTTGGGTTGTAGAATTTGTCAGATTTGGTGTGTTTGTTTGTTTGATTTTTAACTTTAAGGTGAATTATCGCAGATCGTTAGATTGTTGGAGGTTTGTTAAGGTTAGGGTTTACTTAGTTCGGAGTTTGAAGAAGAAAATTCTGATTTTTGTCGTTTATCGTTGAGTTCATCTTGTTTTACGTTAGGTAGTTTGAATCACGCTAAGCAAACATGCCTGTGCGTGTTTTTTAGTTGGCGTTTGTGATGAATCATTTCAGAAGTCTGATGTTTTGTTTAATTTTGGGTGATGTCGTTATTCTGCAGGTGATTTATTTGAAGATTTTTTGATTATTTGAATTTGATAAATATTGATTTTGCTAGTGAAGATTAATGGGTAAAGGAGCCCAAAGTTACGGGACAAAAGAGAATACAGGCAAATCATCACTGGATCGAAGCCAATATGCTGCTTGGGCAAAGGACATACGGGAATGTGAACAAAACTACCAGGTGGACAGAGAACAAGGTCTATCTGATGGTGAAGTCGAAAAGAGGCTGCAGAAGTTTGGGACAAACGAGTTGGAGAAGCATGAAGGACAATCTGTTTTTCAGCTAATTTTGGATCAGTTCAATGATACTTTAGTTAGAATTTTACTTGCTGCCGCTGTGATATCTTTTGTCCTTGCCTGGTATGATGGCGAAGAAGGTGGGGAGATGGAGATCACTGCTTTTGTTGAGCCTCTGGTAATTTTTCTCATACTAATCGTTAATGCGATTGTTGGTGTTTGGCAAGAAAGTAATGCGGAAAAAGCTTTAGAGGCTCTCAAAGAAATTCAATCAGAACAAGCAACTGTGATTCGTAATGGTCGCAAGATTTCAAGCCTTCCTGCCAAGGAACTTGTTCCTGGTGATATTGTCGAACTTAGGGTTGGAGACAAAATCCCTGCTGATATGAGGGTCGTGAAACTAATTAGTTCAACCCTTAGGGTTGAGCAGGGATCCTTAACTGGAGAGAGTGAAGCTGTTAGTAAAACGACTAAACCTGTACCTGAAGAGTCTGATATCCAGGGGAAGAAATGTATGGTGTTTGCGGGAACTACGGTTGTAAATGGGAACTGTATCTGTATGGTTACAGACACAGGGATGAATACTGAGATAGGAAAAGTGCATTCTCAGATCCAAGAGGCAGCTCAGAATGAAGAAGACACACCGTTGAAGAAGAAATTGAACGAGTTTGGAGAAGTTTTGACTATGCTAATTGGGTTGATTTGTCTTCTGGTTTGGCTCATTAACGTGAAGTACTTCCTCTCATGGGAGTATGTTGATGGTTGGCCAACGAACTTTAAGTTCTCCTTCGAGAAGTGCACTTATTACTTTGAAATAGCCGTCGCATTAGCAGTTGCTGCCATCCCAGAAGGTTTGCCTGCTGTGATTACTACTTGCTTGGCCCTTGGCACACGGAAGATGGCTCAGAAGAATGCTCTTGTTAGGAAGCTACCTAGTGTTGAGACTCTTGGGTGTACGACAGTCATTTGTTCCGACAAAACTGGTACTCTGACCACCAACCAAATGGCTGTGGCTAAGCTTGTTGCTATGGGTCATGGAGCAAATGCTGTTCGATCCTTCAATGTTGAAGGAACCACATACAATCCATTGGATGGGAAAATTCTAGACTGGCCAGCTGGGAGAATGGATGCTAACCTTCAAACAATTGCAAAGATTGCTGCATTGGCTAACGACGCAGGCATTGAACAATCTGAGAAAGGTTATGTTGCCACTGGAATGCCAACTGAAGCAGCATTAAAGGTATAGTAATTTAAGCAAGTTTGCTTTTTGATAAGAATCACACGCCAGTAACTTGGAGATTCAAAATTATGGCGCTCTCTGCACGTATGTGCCACCCAGAATTCTAATTTAATTGTCGGTTTCTGTTTACAGGTTCTTGTTGAGAAAATGGGTCTTCCTGCTGGATTGGGTTCTGGTTCATCTACAGAGTACAATGACCTCATGGGTAAGTCACTGAAGATTTATCGTATTTGTTACTTATGCATATGTACTAACATGTTCTTCTGTGATATGCAGTTTGTTCTCGTGAGTGGAGTAAAAGTGAACGCAGGATAGCTACTCTTGAGTTTGACCGAGATAGGAAATCCATGGGGGTAATTGTATCATCCAACACTGGAAGAAATACCCTGCTTGTAAAGGTAATATATTGGGTTCTCTGGTCAATATGAAGCTTTATGAAATAGCAGAATGTTACATGAATCAGTTCATTTCTTATGATCTTCAATGTCAAATAGTATGATATAGTAGCAGACTGTTGTATCTCAAGATACAAAATGCAATGTTGATTAGTTAGGATTTGACATTTAACTGGTCTGTAAGGAGTTTCTACCTTGATGTAAGCTTTGAGCTCCATGTATGTTTGGCTTTATGAAGATGTGGCCAAATGTTTGGGCTCCATGGATGAATTAATAAGTAGTTGCTGACTTTTTACAGGGTGCCGTTGAAAATTTGTTGGAAAGGAGTTCCCACATCCAGTTGCTTGATGGTTCTGTTGTGGAACTTGACAAGAGGGCAAAATCAGTAATCTTAGATAGCCTTAACAAGTTGTCCACAGCTGCATTACGTGTATTGGGTTTTGCATACAAGGAGGATCCTCCAGAGTTTACAACATACAATGGTGATGAAGATCATCCTGCCCATAACCTTTTACTCGATCCAGCAAATTACTCTTCAATTGAAAGTAATTTAGTCTTTGCCGGCTTGGCTGGACTCAGGGTGAGTGGCTATATGCTTTTTTGGTTCTCTTCCCTTAATCATCTATATTTATACTATATTATAAAGCTTTTAGGTAAAAGTCCTAAAAACAACCTATTAAGCATTACATCCCGCTTAGTAACAAATAATCCCTTAAATTTCAAGTTTACAAGTAACTACCCCACAAGTACAATTTTTAAAGCACTTTAAACCTAATAAAACTACCTGATAAATACGTTTCAAGTACATGACAATCATTAAACCTCACTAATACCACCTCCATCATTATCTTTACCCACAAAAAATACTTTATCACTAAAACTAAAATAAATTACATCTTTATTTTTAAATCTAAAATATTTAAATTTGAATTCTTTTTTGAATTAAACGAATCATACCAAAAAAACGTGAATTTTCTAATCTTTAATTTGACAACAATATCGATATGATTTTTGGTTTTTTTAATTGCGTATTCAAATTAGCAATACATGTTCAATCACCACTTGTAATTTCTATTTCATTGAAACATAAATTTCTATTTCATTGAAACATAAATTTTGGGTTTTCTTTTTTAAATAGAAACTGCATTAAATTTTTCATGTGTTCATAGCTATCAAGAAGATTCCAACTGAATTGTTGTGTTGATTTAATCTTTCAAGGATCCTCCTCGTAAAGAAGTTCGTCAAGCCATTGAAGACTGCAGAGCAGCTGGAATTCAAGTTATTGTCATAACAGGAGATAACAAGAATACAGCAGAAGCCATTTGTCGTGAAATAGGCGTATTTGGACAACATGAGGACATCAGTAAAAAAAGCTTAACAGGAAGAGAATTTATGGATCATCATGATCAAAAAGGTCACTTATCATACAAGGGAGGACTTCTTTTTTCTAGGGCTGAACCACGTCACAAGCAAGATATAGTGAGGTTGCTCAAAGAAGCAGGTGAAGTGGTTGCAATGACTGGGGATGGGGTGAATGATGCACCTGCATTGAAATTGGCTGATATTGGAATTGCAATGGGGATTTCTGGAACTGAGGTATTTCTGTTTGCTCCTGAGATATCTGTGTTGGTGCACTGTTTATGAAAATTTACATGTTGCTTTTAAAAGAAACGAAACGAACCAGTTATTCCATCCAGAAGTTGGACCCTGGGGGATGATGTATGCTGACATGGTCTCTTCCCCAAAGAGTAGAATTGTTGTTAGTTACCATGAAAACCCCTTGTGAAAAGCGTTTGCTTTTACAACCATTCTTCCTTTTTGGAAGTTTGTCCAAAATAAACCTTGAGGGCCAGCTCAACCGGCAAATAAATGTTAGCCTTGTAGGTGGCCAGTTCGAGTCTCCTCAGGGCCACGACGGATTTTCCTAACTGTTATCTTCAGGCCCATTAATCGAGGTGCGCGCAAGATGACCTGGAAACCCATGGTTACAAAAAAAAAGTTTGTCCAAACTGCAAATCCAAACACATGCATGTTTATTGAGTATGCTGCTAAAATAACTTTGCAGTCCATTTTCTAAGCCATAAACTGGTGTTTACTCTTGCAATTTGTTTTTTGTTCCCTTTGTCATCGCTTAACTCCACCTGATATTAATCTCTTAAGAAAGACGAGTTTTTAATTAATTCGTGCATTTTCTTGAACTTTTTCTCCAGGTTGCAAAGGAAGCTTCTGACATGGTTTTAGCAGATGATAATTTTAGCACAATTGTGGCCGCTGTCGGAGAAGGCAGGTCTATTTACAACAATATGAAGGCTTTTATCCGGTAGGTTTCTCTTCCATCTCTAGCTCACCTTTTGCGAAAAGCTTTCATTGGTTTTTGTTGGGATTTAACCTATCAAAATAAATGATTTCGGGTTTAGTTCATTAAAAGTGATTATTTTGTTGGGTTGTTTTCAGTATCCAAAATAATCTTATACTGTTATTTTCTCAAGCATCATCTTTGTCATGCTAATGCTTCCATATTTTGCTACAGCTATATGATTTCCTCAAATATCGGGGAGGTTGCCTCCATATTCTTGACTGCTGCTATCGGCATTCCTGAAGGCCTGATTCCTGTTCAGCTTCTATGGGTCAATCTAGTCACTGATGGACCGCCTGCCACAGCCTTGGGTTTTAATCCACCAGACAAATACATCATGAAAAAGGCTCCTCGCAGGAGTGACGATTCATTAATCAGTGCCTGGATTTTATTTCGCTATCTGGTATTTATTCTCTCTCACTTCCATACCAAATATCAGCCTTATCCCATTGTTCATTTTTTGTATCCAAACTTGACATCATCTTAGACTATGTTTGGCAAACTAGCTTAAAAGTTAGCTGTGAACTAATAAGCTAGTTGTCAACTATTCTCTCCCTCCCAAAATAAGTGTCCTAGTTCCTATTTTAGTTTTTGTCCCAAAGTAAGTGTCCATTTTCAAAAATGCTTACTTTGAGATGGGGATAAATTCATTACTCCTTCGATTAGCAAAGGTAAAATTGTCATTTAGTTAATTGAAACATGTAATATTTATCCATTTCTAATGTGATGCATCTTTTTCATTGTAGACATTTATTATAGGACGAAGGGAGTAATAAGCTGATAAACTACTTACGTGTAGTATAAACTAGATAATAAGTTAGATGATAATGTATAAATGACCAAAAAGGCTAAAGTTTTTGGTCATTTATGTAACTTATAAGACCATAATTGGAAAAAAATAAAAAAAAAAGCTCATCTGAGGTTCTGGCTGGTATTGCTGCTGTAAGTCCATTCGGGGAGCTTGTTGAAACACTACTTTATAAGTTTCCAATAAGCTCAAAAATAAGCTAGCTCATGGTTGCTGCACATGGTATTAAGCTTGTTTTGACAAGTAAAGAACACTTTGTTTATTTTGTGCAGGTAATCGGACTCTACGTTGGTGTAGCAACTGTAGGTGTTTTCATCATATGGTACACTCATGGCTCCTTTTTGGGGATAGACCTGAGTCAAGATGGTCACAGCCTTGTTACCTACTCCCAGCTTTCAAACTGGGGTCAATGCAGATCTTGGGATAATTTCACCGTCTCGCCTTTCAAAGCCGGAGACCGAGTGTTTGATTTCGATTCCAACCCTTGTGACTACTTCCAAGGTGGGAAAGTCAAAGCCATGACACTCTCCCTCTCCGTGTTGGTCGCCATCGAGATGTTTAATTCTTTAAATGCCCTCTCCGAAGACGAAAGCCTGTTGACCATGCCACCATGGGTCAACCCATGGTTGCTTCTGGCAATGTCGGTCTCGTTTGGGCTCCATTTCTTGATCCTATATGTTCCGTTTCTTGCGCAAGTGTTTGGGATCGTGCCGCTAAGCGTGAATGAGTGGTTGTTGGTGTTGGCTGTGGCCTTGCCCGTGATATTAATCGACGAGATCCTTAAATGCGTCGGTAGGTTGATAAATGGAAATCAAACGAGCCCAAGGCCTTCGAAGCGGAAAACAGAGTAATCGTGAGTGGTTACGTTTCCGAAAATGCCCGTGAAATTGTTGACTGACACTATATCTTCCTCCTTTGAATTGTTAAGACCAGCAAGGGTAGGTTGGACCATGGACAAATTTCTAGCAATAGTTTTGGTAGAAGTTAGTTTAATATGTTCTTTTATTTTCTTTATTGTTATGTTTTGGAACATTTGGCAAATCTTAATATTTTCTTGAACCAGTTGAGCTAACCCTACAAAATCAGCTAATTACATTCAAATTTGTTTTGATAGGAAATGCACTTTTTCTCTCTGTCACTAAAAGGGCGTTGTAGGAATTTTTTTGCTGAATGAATTAAGCTTACCTAGGATAGCTGAAAGAATAAACTATTGGTTTAATCATTAAGCCATGGACAAACGCTTAGGTTAATATACAAATCATTAAGAACATCTTTAACAACTATGTTAAACTAAACGTTTTAAAGATTTAAGAGATGTTTTTCCTTCAACAATTATGATATAATATTAGCAAAAATAGAATAAAGAAGAGAGTGATGTTGAGGAACTTTAAATTTAAGGGAATCTCTAAAACTAATATCTATACTATATTATAAAGCATTTGACTAAAACTCTTAAAAACTCTTAAACTCTTAAAACTCTTAAACCCGTTCATCGCTAAACGATTTCATCCCTATCCGATTTCATTCCATAACTGAATTCGTGTAACTAACTGCAGATAAACGCAATCCAATACAGGATAAACATCTCATTTTAAATATAAAAAA